AATCCTTCTCTTTACGTCCTTCTCGGCAGAGTACACATGCGACCGCAATCGTTGCAGAAAACATCAGTGATCTCATTTCACAAGCTGGAAAGCTCTGAAGAAAGTTTTGAAGTTTTCGAAAGCTGCCCGCTGAGACTGACGTTTTCCTTGGGGAATTCTGAGATTCATTCAGCTATCACAATAGCGAAAATTACTCGGGTCGAGGCATTAATATGCTAACCAATCAGAGGCTTTCCCCGACATTCCGGGGAAACCAGAACACGATTAACGTCAGCGATTCACAGAGGTCTCTCTCCCCGATCGTTTTTTAGGGGAGGGGGCGTCTGTGCACAGTGCTAAAACTATATGTTTTTAGTTTTTCGGATCTTGAAATTTTTACTTATTCTTACTGATTACTTTTCTTGGAGTACCCTTAACCGGCTCTTTCAGGTTGTAACCATTATTATTTCATGACTCACGCCTTTTCTTTTGTTATTCCACAACCTTTATCTAACGTACAACCCTCTTGGACATTCAACAAACTGAAAGTCCGGGGAGGGCTTGATAACGTAGCAGGGAAGAGCGGGGCTGAACCTCACAGTTTGAACTTTCATTGGCTGCGGTCACATCTGGGCTACTAACTATAGTTAAGACGGGGGTAACTATAGTTAGCTATTTCGGTAATGTGACCACTTCTCTGTTCGCTCTAACTATAGTTAGAAAATTTACGCCTCGGTGATCCAAAACAATACAGACTAACTATAGTTATACCCAAGCAGGGTTCGTAGGTTAGTCTTAAGTTAACAAACAAACAACCAATCAGAATGTGACACTTCTTTTCCCACGTGCCAGATGAGCATATATAAATATGCAAAATAAAAACCAAGCGTGAAGCGAGGTGGAAACCAAAAACAACAAACAAAAAATTTACATGGGCTAATTAGAACTAACTGTTGTTAACGCAATGTGACCGCAATGTGACCGCAATGTCGACCGAAAGCACTAACTACAGTTAGGTATGACCTCAGGTAACTTGACACTAACTTAAGTTAAACTTTAGTTACGTCGTAGATGTGACCGCAGCCATTGTTTTTTTTGAATTCGATGAAGGTGTGAGCGTGCAAATAGTATATGGATTAATATCTCCGTTCTCGGTATTTATCTCTTACATACACTTAGTGAAGTGAGAAGAGAGTAGGCGGCTTTTTTTCTTCGATCAGGTGCAATGAGACATTTCAGAGAGGACTGTAACGACACACTCGTTTTAACAAGTAAAAGCGTGAAAGTAATGCATATAACAGGCTGAAAATTAAATTGAATTACGTTTAAGTCATGCAGGCATAAAAACATCAAAAGGATACAGCTAATCCTTCATCACACCAAGTCATTGCCTGTTCAAACAAGCTTAACTTTGTACAGGCATTAGCTCCTGAAATAATGTAATTCATGTATAAGAATAATATAATTATATCTAGATCATGTTCAGGTGTTAACTGTCCTCTCCCTTCTCCTCAAGATATAATTTTCAAACAAAGAGAAATCGATTTGCCGAAACAAGTATGCGTGAAGAACTTTGTAACTTTATTTAGAAAAAAGAGAGGTAAGACTCTCCTATGTCTCCCTTTCCACCGTTAACATAACCATACTACTCGTACTGGCCCCAGTTGTTCAAAAGGTGGATAACACTATCCACTGGATAAATCTCTTACCAGATCTACCAGTGGATAATCCAATCGGTTTCCCTAATACTTATCTACTGGATAGTGATTTTCCGCTGGGTAGCGCTATCCATGCAACGTTTGAACATTCGGGGCCCGATAATTACTTTATGTCATTGACCCGAACTCCAAATTTCACAATGTCCTCTACTCTATAACATATAGATTTAGCCAGAGCGAAAAGTAAAGCTCTCGCTAATACACTTATAATTATACTTGAAACAATGAGCTTGGAACAATTGCAAAGAAATCCACATATGACTTTTGATGGAGGGCCTCAGTAGTTTTAGAGTAAATAAGAGTCATATTCACTCAGAGGTAGCCTTCGAAAAGAATTATTGCCCAAACTAAATCTCCCAATTGCTCACTTTTGTTAAGGTAATTGGTCAACCCCTTTATTTGATATGATAAACCCCATTTACAAGCGCAACTTTTAGGGGTGCCGAAAAAGGATTTAGAGCAATCATTTTTGCTGCGGTTACAACCGAGGCGCATGCGTTGTTTTTACAAAAATGACGTCCGCCAAATTTCCAAAGAATCGACAGAATCGTAGTCAAACGGTTATCATTAGATCCCATCGACCGTAGCCCCTGCGGAAACTTCATGAAATTTACATAACGCAGCACCGCCTTTTAAAGATTAGGGTTAAGCACCGCCTTTACAGATTAGGGTAAAGCACTGCCTCTACTGATTAGGGTTAAGCACTGCCCTTACTGATTAGGGTTAAGCACTGTTTCGAAACTGGTTAGGTTCCTTTTTTTGGGTTGGGGTTGATCCCATATGTACTTACATTATTTCATTTGGTTAGCGTAGTATACTGGACCATCTGGGTCGTGGGTTCGAATCCTACTATCTTTCACGATAATTTTTCTTTGTTTAAAATTGAAGAGACTTGCACATTTTCGGCTTGAAGTATCATCTAAGTGTGATTTAAAAGCAGAAAACAGTTCTACCTTGTGTAAATTCTCATGAGGGGAGAAAGGAGCTACGGCCGATGGGATCTAATGCTGACCTGGTCATGCATTGGCTGAGGCTGATTTGCATAAAATCTTATAATGATCATAACTTCGTGAAAATTTATCAGAACCTTCAAAAATTTAGCAACCTAGGAAAAATCGGTGTCCTTAATTTTCCTATAACGTAAGAAACCAGATATCTGCGTCACGTGACCACTTATGGTCGAGTCCAGGAAAGAAAAGAAATCTAAAAATGGGGTGGCGAGATGCCACAAAGTATATATTAAATTCAGTATTTTTGTTATTGTATCATTATTTTTCGCTTCAATCTGGCCGTAATGGTTGACTCACGTTTTTATTTAATTAGTAATTAAGCAAAAGAGGTCACGTGACACTTTTCACCTGTTAATATCTTTTTAAGAAATTAAAAATTGCCCCCGTTCCGGCCAACGGAAAAAATTCGTACGATAAAACCAACATTTACACATGGTTCAAACTTAGTTGTAATCAACCATTCCTACCCCATTTTTAACTTTTGAATATCATTATGACATCACGTTTCACGTGACTACATCACTTCAACCCTAATTAATTCAACACCTCGAAAGAAAGTTTCTCGAAAGTTTTCTGCAACTTTGAAAATTAAAATGGATTTAATCACGTGTAACGACCTTTATACTCGGTGAAACTCTGCAAACTGAAAAGTCAGGGGGGGCGGCTTTGAATTCAGCCTCAGGGGAAATGCAGAGTTGAATGACTGAAACAATGGAACAGCGATTAGGATGAACATTTTTTAACAAAGAATACTAAAAAACATGAAATTTAAATTGACGGTCCTCCTAATTTGCAAATAGATGGAAAGTCAAAGATTTGACAAAATTTATCTTGCAGAAAAAGTTTGAAAAAAATTTCATCCTTATCAGAACAAACAAAAACAGTTGAATGGTCTGAACCTTAATATTCTAAAACGAAATACGAAATTTTCTAAGCAAAAAAGCACCAAACCGCGGTCCATGTTATCATTTCAAGAAGGAATGGGCGAAATGAGTCACAAGCAACACAATTTAATTCTTACCAGTCTGCAATTTCGTAAAAATTATCAATGTCCATTACGTCGCTTTGCAGTTAGATTTAGCGACACTCTACTCGGGAAATTTTTTCCTCTTGTGTAGCGAAAACTTTTGTCCGGCCGGCCAATTTGGACTTTTGGTAAGCGAAAAGTAAATTTATACCGTGATCATGAAAAGCACTCTCGAGAGTTTGTATGAAAAGTAATCACGTTTTTCAAAACAAGAAAGTATTTTCCAAAAATATTTATCTGTCTAAATCTTGAAAAGAATTTGAATACACGCCTGTTAATCTCATTTCATTCACCGCTACATTTTGAACATGCTGTCGGCACAACATAAAGTATAAAAATTAAATGAAAAATTTACAACGTCTATTCAAGAAGGCACGTATTGAGACTGAAGTGTTTCTTGAAATCCCTTTTTATTTAAAAACGTTACAGAGGCCAAGGTCTCAAACACAAATATGCGAAAACTACGACCCACTTTAACAGAGGTGTTTATCTGAGAAATTTGCCTTTTATTTCCTTTTTTCCATTGTATTTCCTCGTTTTTGAGCTATGCACTAAAAACTGCACTGCTCTCTTCCAATCATATTCAATAATTTTTTTCATGTATATTATTAGAAATCAAAACCTTACGAATGATAGTCCAGTAGTGCGGCTCCTAGCTCATAAATGACTTTTTGCCCAACTGATGGTATCATTTTTTTCTTTCAGTGTGATGAAAACCTGAATCATGAATGTAGTAAACACTACGAATAAACAGCTTTCCGGGTCCGGTTAGCCTGCGTGGCAGGCGTTAAAAGGGGAAGGGGAAGGGGAAAATTGGGCGTTCAAAACACGGCCCTCCGAGGGAATTCGTCGTTTTGCTGCAAACAATTGGAATTGAGCCTGCGATCAAATAAAAGCCACTAACTGGTCGGTGGAAAACTTCAAAAAAGTGTGACCTCTGTGAGTTGACATCTGAGCCAGCGATAGGGTCATGTGATACTAGTCAGCAGATAACCTGTTTTGCCCATTGATTCGCCTGTGGTGCGCAAGGACGGACGGTCATGTGATTACAAAATTTTCTTGGATGCGTAGTAAACCAAATTTTGTTACCCATGATGCACTGGAAAGCTCTACTATAGTTTGGAAATGAAAAATCGTGGCTGCTGCTGCTGAGTTTTTTTGTTAATGCAGTTGTCCCGAGAGCGCTTACTTTGTATTAGAGTAGCGTGGAATTAAAGCTTATGAGTGTTTCTTAGAGTCTATGATCTTTTTGAAATTACCTGTTATTATTGCTTTGATAAACAGTGGTCGTATGTCCTTGACAACTTTTGCATCTCTAAGTGAGCCACTGTAATTTCCTATGAGTGTTGCAAAAAAAGAAAAAACGCCGTGATAAAGCAATAAAAAACACATTCTCTAGTAACGACGCATTTTGTAATAACTTACGCATTTTGTAACAAGGGTTGCGGTATTTTGTAACAACTTACGTATTTTGTAATAAGAACTGCGGCCTTTTTGTAATGAACCGGGCCCAGCTCCTCGAAAGTTGGTTAAGTTTAAGCCAAATTTGAAGCAGGGTTTTCTTGTCTAAGAACATGCAACTCGAGCTTACAAAATACTGTCGGACCTCTAAAGGTGTATTAGAAATATTATTGAAATTGAAGGGGTCTTTAAATTTAAGCAAAATTAATAATGTATCTCGTAAAAACTAGCTAACTAGAAACTAATGATTAATATGGCTTACAAAATGCGTAACCTCCATTTATTACAAAATGCCACAGCTCTTATGACAATGTGCGTAAGTTGTAACAAAATGCCGCAACCCTTGTTAAAAAATGCGTCGTTATTCTTCTCTTAAAGGGAACCTCCACTTCAACAAAAAGATAACTTTAAATCACAGGAAATAACTGTTACAGTCAAGTCAATCTAAAATATTTTTAAAGAAAGCGTTTGTATCCGAAAGAAATAACTTTTAGATTCGCCTATTTTTGTTTTCAAATTTTGCGGGCGTCGCCATCTTGAATAATTGTGACGTGTAATGGTTGCCCTATTGTTATTAAACAAAAGCTCTTTGTGTCAGAACAACAGAGCAACCGTAACACGTCACAATTATTCAAGATGGCGGCGCCCACGAAATTTGAAAGTGAAAATAAGCGATTTTAAAATTCACTTTTCCTGATATAAACACTTTTTTTAAGACAAATTTCAAACAAATTTGTTTATCAACATAATTTTATTCGATTTAAACTTATTCTGTAGTAAGAGTGGAGGTTCCCTTTAAGAATAGTGCGAGGTGTTAAAACCAGTACGACACCTATTAGTAATAAGAGTTAATGAAAAATGAAAAAGTACGAAAACAAATGCTCTTCTTTCGTTCAAAAAGTCAAAAATATATTCTAAATAAAAAAACCTAATTAAAAGCCCCAACTGGCAGGTGGCAGACAAGTTGTATTTTACAAGCACGGTCGAGCAATCAGTAAACTTGAAGTTAGCGGGAAATAAATCCGGCAGGTGGAGCGGAGCACAAATCCGAGACGTCAGGATTTCGAGTACGAGGTACTGACCAGTCGGCTGCTCTCCCCCTTCTATTTTCAAAATGAAAATAGACTCACCCAATTTATGATGTGCAAGTGCTCTGTTGCTGTACAGTTTAGCTTCGAGATCTTCATCCTTACAGTTAACTTCAATTCCCTCAGTATAGAAGAAAACGGCATTGCTGTAATCTTTTTTTCTGTATGCTTCATTACCTTTGTTAAAATAAACCTCAGCTTTCCCTAGAAAAGAATTAAATTGAGAAATTATTAATGTATATTATTATTCATTCAAAATATTTCCCCGATTCTGATTGGCTAAAAGCACACGCATAATTCACCATAACCAGCTACTGACGACCAAATTTGGAAGAATTTTGCGATTAATCAACCGATGACGTCAAAAGTGCAGCTTTTTTGCAGGTTAACGCACCGTTAACAGAGAAGACCTGGAGACGAGGTTGAGTTGTTTTAGTTGTGAAAACAAAAATGGCAAACATTTCACTCGTTTCAAGAGTAAGAACTAGGCGAAATAATAGCTAAAAACATGGCAAGCACTGCAAGAAGACAACTCGAAGGACGACATCTGCTATTTGGAGAATATTTGCGGAGCTGAACAATCCTAAATGTGCACTATCGAAGATGAACTTAACATCGATACAGGTAAGCATGTTTTAGCTATGTTTTTAAATTAGGAATTATTTTGAATGAATAATAAAAACAATTATTGAATTCGGCTTTCGTATCATATGAAGGATTATGGAGATCTCGGAGGGTGTTATCCGCCTCGACCTACGGCCTCGACGGATAATACCCTCTTCGATCTCCATAATTCTTCATAAGATACTCAGCCTCATTCATTAATTGTTAAGTGAAGCAGGACACCATGTATTTTGACCCTTTTTACCTCGTTGTGCTGTTTGCTCAGCTCTGTTGCATGTTAACTCGTAAACACCGACGATCGAATTCCCTCGCTCAGTCAGTCACCACTAATTTCCTGTGAAATTTGTTTAACTTAGCTGAACAATTCAGTTGTCAAAATCGTCCGTCTACCGAATTTGTAACAGTGTCCTGACGCAAATTGTAATAATTCTATTTTTGCAAAAACAACATACAAACAACAGAGAAAACGAAAAAAATTGATATTAAAGTAATGGCAAGTACATCTCAGATCTTGCAAAGAACCTTTTTTCTATGGGCATTTGGGCCTTTCCTCGCGTGAATCATGATTTTGTTGTCCGCATTTTAGTATTTTGGGATTACAAGGTGGACTTTCGTTAAAGTAGTTAAGGAGGAATGCAAAACAAGGCCCTATGATAGAGCGTCTGACTGTGTTGGAAGGCCGGTGAAGCCCCACACGTGCATTTCATTCGAAATGAAACGAGGGAAAAATTCGGTCAAAATGATCTCACACTTACTGGGCCTGATTCGTTCGACTGAATTGGCAACTTGAAAGGTGCGTAAAAAATGATAATTGAAATTCACTTGACCGGGTTTCTAATATAAGCAAAATCCACCAAAACTACCTAAATACGAGGACTAAAGCTTAATGTTTATTCAAAGTAAGCAAACCAGGTTCGTTCACTTCGTTTATGAGGCACTAACACAAACTCGTTCTCAGGTCTCTCTTCTTTCTCGTTCCAGGGGAACCAGAGAATAAGTAACATTATTATATGGCTGAGTCTGTTTTCGCCATGCGATTGGTCAATTTTGCGGTCCGTAACTTGCTATACCGACCAAAATTTTTAAAGAAAATGCTCAATTCGGAGCTCTAAATATCTTTTCCTCGGAAAAAAGGTTTGAATAAAGTTATAGGACGCCTGTCAACCTTGAGGACTTGGATGTTGACCTTGGCCTTCAACATTTTAAACTGTGTTTATTTGTGAACAAAGGCGATGAGGAAACTAACTCTTAATCTTATCGGAGAGGGTTCTAGTCAGTGTTTGAAAATTTTATCGTAGTACACAGTTAAGAAGACGAAAATAGACTGGCAGAGATACGAGATGTTTTGCCTGAGAGAAAATGAGTAATTTCTTCGACAAATATGATAACAAACATACCTGCACCCGATCATCTTGACAAGCTTCTTTGCCATTTCTGCCATTTGCAGTGTTTTTTTCGGAGACCAACGAAAGAAAGATAGAAGCGAGTTCGAGCCAGACACAATGTCCAGTTTTCAAAAGACTCCAGCGTCACATTAACGAGTGAATACTTACAGTGCTCTTAGTTTGACCGAATAAACTTTAAAATATGTCTGTAAACCCTGAGGACTGGGATGTTGACTTTGCCGTTGCAAATTTTAACCTAGCTTTGTTTTAACGAGAAAGAAGCCGTAACCTTACAGAGGAAGAGAATTCTAGTCAGTGTTTGAAAATTTTAACGCAGATCACAGTTGAAGATGAGAATAAACTGGCAGAAAGAGAGGTTTTCGCAAAAACAATTAACGAGCGAGTCCTTCGACAATGACAAAAAAACTTACCTTGAAAAGCTTCTTTGCCTTTTTACAGTGTTTTTTTTTACAAGGACAAACGGAGGAAAGATGGAAACGACTTCTTGACAGAAGTGTCCGGTTTCAAAAATACTCAACTTACAGTGCTCTTAGTTTTGACGGAACAAACTTTTCAACATGGCGAATTTGTTTTTACTTTCTTGGAAACCCTTTGTTCTGTTCTATTGTTTTCGTGCGCCAATAAAATCTTTCCTTTTTGATGCCTGTCAAATGACTGTCAAATCGTGCGGCCTGCACTTGTTTTCGGTCCCCCAAACAGGAAGAAGCCATATAATAAACATCTTATTAACCTCGTTTTTTTTTGTCCGTACTGTAAATTACGGATCCTCGTTTTTTTCCATCGATTTATGGCCCAAGCGCGAAGCGCGCGGGCCATAAATCGATGGAAAAATAATCGGTCCGTAATTTACAGTACGGACCGAAAACTCGGCTAAGAGGTATTTAATTTTTCTCATTCTCGTTTTCTCATTTGCTTGTACGTTGTTCTTGCAAAAACAAAATTATTACATTTTTCGTCAGGACATTTTTAAAAATTGCGTAAGTTATTACCGAAATCCGTCGTTATTACATAATGCCAAAGAACTCGCAAAAATATGCAAGGAAATAAATGAAATCAAGAAAACAGCAGAAACTTCAGAAAATTTACACAATCCCCAAGACGCGAAAAGAAATCGAAATAGGCCGTTTTTTAGCAGTTGTCCTTCATACGATAGACCCTCCAGCAGAAAGATATCTTTGTATCCTGAGCGCAGACGTCACCAAAGAAACACCAAATTTTTGCAAAACTGAGGCCTAGAATTGCTTTAATAATTATTTTTTTTATGTTAGATGCTCGACACTTTATACAGAGAGCTGTCGCGTAAGGTGACATTAATTTTTCAAGGCACAAGCTTCCGAAAAGGCTCGTGTTGGGCTTTATTCTAGGATCGTAAGAAAATAAGAAAAATATGTCTTCTTTGGACATGTTAAAAGCTGATGTGAATATCTTGGTAATGGTCTTTGTAGCCGTTACCTTACCTTTCAAAGTCTCGTCATCAAAACACAGCTTTTGCCCTACATCAGGTGATGTGACGTCACTCTCATTTGCTTCTTTGCTTCCCTTCTGCGCCATGAATTCTGGATCGGGGAAAAAAACAAACAAACTGAAACAAACTTAATATGCGTTTGCGGCTTCCTTCCAAACGTCAACAATTTTAAAACCGATAAAAGTCGCTCTCATTGTAAATACAATGTAAAGGTTATTAACAACAACAACCCTTATTTACTTCACATACAAATGACAGCTTGAGAGACGTCTTTATTCAATGGATGTACACTCCGTACACACTGGCTACACACGCAGAGAGATTTACAATCACGTTTTGGAAGGGAAAAAGCTCATTAAAAGGTTTAAACTTCAACACAAAGTGAAGAAAACCCCCAAAAGGTACTCATTGTAGCATCGTTTGAAGGAGACGATGAAAAGCAAAGTATGCTACAATCTTGGACAAAATATATGGAAAACCTAGACCCCCCCTCCCTCCCAAATCAAGGATGGGAAAATGGCGCGTTTTTGCCCTTCGCGCGGCTTCATCCTTGATTTGGGGGGGATGGGGGTTTGCTGTTCCATTTTATTTTGTTCAAGATTGTCTGAGAGTAAGACTTACGTTACCCAAAGCGTACTGTATGGTAATCACGACTTAAAACTTGCGGTCGCAAGCTTTGGAAGCTTAACACTTTAATTGCGATTCTCGCCTCATCATGAATAAGCCCGAGCGAGATTGCAAAAAATGTTACTAATGACATTCAATAAATGCTTTTTGTGTATTTCATTTATTAAAAAAGTAGAACGCATGAATACATGACACTATTGGTGTCATAATAGTAACATACTTCTTTTGCAAAACTGACTCTTTTTTCTCGCAAACTGCATCGGTTACATATTTCTACTTAAACCTACAAACGCTCTTTGCCAGAATATAACGATGGAGTTGCTTTCTCAGTACACATCAAACAGTTCGAGCGAAAGCCCCGACAGCTCCGATAAAGACTCAGAAACAGCCAAAGTGCGAAGTGTTTACTTACTGACTTATAGCAGAGCAGATCTCCGTATTTTCCCTGAGAGAAAGTCGTTCCAAGATGCCGTTTGTGAAGCAGTTTTAAACTGCGAGGGACCGAAAGCAAAAATTGTACAGTGGTCGTGCTGTCAAGAAAGTCATAAGAAGGGAGGAGGAAAGCATTTTCACATGGCTATAAAGTTAAACCGTGTTAAGAGGTGGCTGCCCATTCGCGACTATTTAAAGAACAAATGGAGCATTTATGTTCACTTTTCTAATCGGCACGTTAACTATTACACTGCTTGGTTGTATACAACCAAAGAAGACAGAAACTACATTCAGTCTCCTGATCATCCTGACTTGGCCAACTCTGGTCCACCGAGAACCATGTCAGCGAGTCAAGCTCGAAAACAACGAAGTGTACCAGCAGCCACAAGCGACCACGATGACGAATCTTCCAGTGCCGCAAGCGAGGAAGAAAGGGATGGTCGAGAAAACGAGATAGAGGAAGGCAGGCGGGCCAGCAAAGCCGTTAAGCGAAAGCGTTCCCGACGTTTAAGTAGCTTTGAAGTTTCGAAAATAATCATCGATAAAGGAATCCGTAACAGAACGGAACTACTCGCACTCGCTAACGTGCAAAAAGCCGAGGGCAAAACAGACCTGGGGGAGTTCGTGTTCAACAGAGGAAATAGGGTGGTGGAAGAAGTGATTGCAACTTCGTGGGAAATGGAGAACGCGAGTGACGTGATTGAGCGCAGCAAATTAACAAGGCTGGAGCTCTTAGAGAAGTCGCTAGAAGATCCTTGTGTCGATCAATGTAACGGGCAGTGGCTACAGTGTGCGAACCGGATTCTTAGGTGGAACGACGTGTCGCGGGAGGCCTTCTCACAAGCTGTAAAAGACCTGCTGGAAAAAGGGAGGGGAAAATTTCGAAACATTCTAATCAAGGGCCCCGCCAACACTGGAAAAACATTTTTACTCAACCCTTTAAACGTTGTGTACAGGTCGTTCAGTAACCCAGCTACATCCACTTTTGCGTGGGTAGGGGCTGAGAAAGCAGAGGTTATTTTCTTAAATGACTTTAGATGGAACCCCCAGATAATTCAATGGCATGATCTGCTTCTAATGCTAGAGGGACAGCCGGTTCACCTTCCTGCCCCCAAATCCTACTTTTCTAAAGACCTTGAGTTGAATTTTCGTGTGCAAGTTGTAATGCTTGTTATGTTGGTGAAACCAGCCGACACTTCTCCACACGAGTGCGCGAGCACTTACTTTCAGACAGGTCTTCGAACGTGTTTAAACATCTGCAGGGTTCAGAGTTTTGTAGAGCATCCTGCACACCGGATTGCTTCGAGATCCTGGACTCTGCAGCCACTAAGTACCACGTGAAGCTTAAGGAATCCATGTTTATAAAATGGGAGAAGCCCGATCTCAACCAGCAGGTGAAACACATTAACCTGACTCTCTCCCTGTAAAGAACTAAGCGTCACTCATTTAACTTTGTTTTAGTACGCAATATTGACAACGCAATGTAACGAACTTTGTAAGATGGCGCGCGCTTTAAATTCAACGGCGATTTCAAAATATGTAACACTGAAGATGACGGATGTACCGTCGAAACATGTCTGGAAAATTAAAGAAAGTTGTTATGTTTATACGACTATCTATATTGTTGCTGCTACCTAGACCTTTTGGACCTTGAGTTTACTAGAGACACCCCAATTTTTTGCACAACGAAACACGATTTGGTTTACGTCAAGGGAGGGGCGATAGACGAAAGAGAAACCGAAATGATGGCGGTACGCTGGCACTCTTTTCAGTTTCAACGACAAATTCGAGGGGCCGAACAACTATCCATTCCATCTTGCGCAAGGTGCTTTGCTGAATTCATTCTAAATTTTTAAGAGGATCGATTCTACTGTATGGAACGAACTTTTTAAGAATAAAATGTCGTTTGCGGGCCGTTTATTTGTCATTTACCAGTATACTGAAAGTGTAGCACATTGTAAATACATTTGAATACCGTGTAAAGGATAAATTAATTTAAGAGATAATTGTCGCTTTAATTAATTAGTAATATCATACTCTTTCTTCGTTGTTTAGCCTGTATATATGAGTCTAGAATGAATAAAGAATTCTTGTATCCCTTCAGGTCCAAAACTGGTTACGTTTTTCACTTTTATTGTCAGTGTTAATTACTACACCTAACACAGCAGAAGGCCAAAATAAACAAATAAATAAAAAAACGAAAGAAAGAAAACGAAAAAATTCATCGGGTGGAAATAGCGGGGTTAATGGTATTACAAAATACTATACATAAATGAACAGCCTCATTTACGAGATGCTATGCATCAAAGAAGTCCGTAAATACTCAGAGTGCGTCAAAAAGTGCGAAATTCTTTGTAGAAACTTGTAACATATTCTGATATGTCACTATTCTCTTTAATGATCTTTTGTTGTTTTCTTATATTCGTTATAGAACATTCATACGCTATTGTCTTTTGACTTGACAATGACGTACGAGAACGTCGAAACTTTGTCATCATATTTTTTAAAACCTTTCCTTTAACTACGTATTAATGCTTTTAAGCAAAATGTTGTCAATTTCTTTATAGCCAAACTTTTCCAAAAATTACTGAAAAAAAAGGAAAAAAGAAAAAAATTACTCAGGCCGCAGCTTGAACCTACGAAAGCAATGTGCGCACCTAACCGGCGCACTAGCCTTAGCGTGGAACTAGACCAGTGCGCCATCTGTCCAGTAGCTATTCACTCAGGGCTACTTTTAAAAAGTGTATTTGCTATTAGCGATATTTGTGCGCGTTAGATTTCCTCTATCTGCACTACTTTTCTTATACTGCAAAAGCGAGCACGATTTTGGTTGAAGAAGATGCAGATTGGCTCGATTTACAAGCTATAACGGACGGTTTTTTACGATTTTCCACGATTTTGACGCTTGAACAGTAAAATAATATTGAGACAACCTTTTTCAATTTTCACCGATTCGTTAATCGTAATAAACCGTGAAAAATCACCGTAAACTAACTTAAAACCGTGTGGAACAGTTCGTAAACCGTCAGAGAACCGTCCAAGTGTCATTTAAACCAGGTTAAACACTCTTCAGGAACGTTACACCATTTACTGACTAACTAATATTTCAGTCTTTCGCCATTGTTTCTCGTTATGTCAGCAATGCGACCGTTCATAGACTGTATTGTTTTATCAATCACGCCCTGAGAAATACTACAAATTGTCCTTTCTACCCTATCACAGAACTCGTCATATGATTCGCGAGTAATGCCTTGTTGAATAGCGTCTTTTTCTAACTTCCTGGAGGCAAGGTTAAAAATGTTCTCAATAGGGTTTAAGTCTGGACTTCGCGGCGGTATTTTTAAAAGTTCCGAATGACAACGACCCATAGCCTTGCGTGCTGCTTTGCTGTTTTGACAGGGATCACCATCTTGCAGCCAGAGCCGACTCGATCCTTTGCCGGATTGCACGAACATGGTGTTGAAATTCTGGTCAATAAAAGATGAGAAGTATTTTGCGTCCATTTTTTCGTATCTGTCACAGACTAAAACTCCTTTTCCGTGACTTATTGCAACCATGAACTTGGCAACTTTTCCTGCCGTTCCAACTTTTCTTCCTTTAGCTAGGCACCCCTGTGTAAGACCTTCGGATTTTTTTCTCCACACTCTTCCTTTGGGGGCGCGGGCCTGGTCCATGGGGTTTGTCTTGTATACAAACGAGACGCCATCCNTGCCTTGTTGAATAGCGTCTTTTTCTAACTTCCTGGAGGCAAGGTTAAAAATGTTCTCAATAGGGTTTAAGTCTGGACTTCGCGGCGGTATTTTTAAAAGTTCCGAATGACAACGACCCATAGCCTTGCGTGCTGCTTTGCTGTTTTGACAGGGATCACCATCTTGCAGCCAGAGCCGACTCGATCCTTTGCCGGATTGCACGAACATGGTGTTGAAATTCTGGTCAATAAAAGATGAGAAGTATTTTGCGTCCATTTTTTCGTATCTGTCACAGACTAAAACTCCTTTTCCGTGACTTATTGCAACCATGAACTTGGCAACTTTTCCTGCCGTTCCAACTTTTCTTCCTTTAGCTAGGCACCCCTGTGTAAGACCTTCGGATTTTTTTCTCCACACTCTTCCTTTGGGGGCGCGGGCCTGGTCCATGGGGTTTGTCTTGTATACAAACGAGACGCCATCCAAGTAAAAAGCGATAGAATCTTTCCATACATTCAGGGGGTAATCTGCTTGCGTCCTTCTAGCAAATGTGACTCGCATGTCTTTGTCCGATTGGCTCATGAGTCCCTTTTTGCGTGCCTGCAGAAAGAAGTAACCATTTCTGTTTAGAAGACGTCTAACAGTTCAATCAGAAACATGACGAATTCCTGTCCGTTCCATCAGACGCCGAGACGAAAAGGAGCCCTCTTGGTCTCTCAACTCTTCAATGCCTCTTGTTCGGGGGAAATTTTTTTCCTTCGGCCACAAAAATGTCTCCTGTGTTCAGGCGGTCTTCCCTCTGCACTTGTTAGTCGGTGTACACTTGTCCTGGAAACCTTGCAGCGCTGAGCAATTTCTTCTAACGTGAGATCTTTAGTAGCCCTAAGGGCTCTAATTGTAGCCTTAGTTTCCTCGGGTATTCTTTTTCTAGATGGCATGTTTAAAGTGTTTTACGACGATAAAGAATATCTCTTCTCATCTCTTGTAATTATTGGGAAAGTTAAACTACGCATTATATATGCTCTATGTTACCGAGAATATCTCTTTTGTAATGCCTAAACTTAGACCCGGGATGGACCAGTGACGCGCGTGACTGCGTCAGAAACCAGTATTTTCTAGCGATAAGTGCGTTGAAAGATGTCTCACTAATTAGGAGTGACCACTATTTCGTGACCTAGACACCTTCGTGACAATCTTGGACAAAATAAATGGAAAACCTAGACCCCCCTCCCCCCCAAATCAAGGATGGGAAAATGGCGCGTTTTTGCCCTTCGCGCGGCTTCATCCTTGATTTGGGGGGGATGGGGGTTTGCTGTTCCATTTTATTTTGTCCAAGATTGTAGCTTCAAACACATCTTCATTTAATGGCTGCCTTCGCTTAACATACTTTATCGTTACCAAATTAACAATTGATAGTGTTCATCATCATGACGACGAAAATTCCCCTGGGAGTACTCCCTTAAATTTGCCTTACGGGTATTGATCTGAAATAAGGTCTAGGGTCAAGATTTGGAGAGCCAGACAACACACCCCCACCACGAATTCCCAGGAATACCCCCCGGATTACTAAGTGAATGATTGATAGCGTTCATTTTTTGACACAAAAATCCCGGGTTACTCCCTTATATTTGCCTTATAGGTATTGGTCTGAAATGGCGTCTAGAATCAGGATTGGGAGAGTCGGACTGCACATCACCACCACAAAAAAACAAAAAGTTTTAAGTTTTAGCTGGAATTAAAATTCCATTTTTGTCTTCAAAAATATTGGAAAGAATACTGCTTAATAACTTAATTGGTTCTAACTGTAGTGTTTGTATATAAACTTTGTTTGAGGGTTACTAAGGAAGTTTTACTGTTTCAACGAAGCGCAAAAAAACGATATCGACTCAGTTCAAAGTAGAAGCCAGTATTTACGTCCAAGACCATTTTCAACTGATGATTCGGGGGCTATTGGCACCTTTAAATTACCCTTTTTAATGTACCAGAGTACAAGAATGTGCCTGCTTTCATCAGTTTTGTGCTGGTCGCAGACAAAATGGAGAAGTTGAGCCTGGATTTTATTTTTTTGGTATTAGTTAACAACTAAGCACGATTAGGGCTAAAACAAAAGTTGTAGAATGAGAGAAATATAATTTTTAATTTCAGTTCCTTACACCAATAAATTGAAAATAATTTTCGGTTTTAACTGAGCCGTTTGGTCATAACCATTGTTTTTGCAGTTTCTAAGGAAGTTTTACTTTCTCACTGAAGCGGAAACCATCAGTATATGGACATTTTACTCGTAAAATAGAGTTAACTAATTAGAGCGTACTTCAGCTATTATTTCATTATGATTTACTCTGCCCTGGGTGGCAAATATGTTGCTATCCCACATAAAGGAACATTGCGTGACTCAGCTCTGGTTCAAGAGCTCCTTGTTTATCTTAGATTACATCAATAACTGACCTTCAGTTGTTTCTACAAACTTCTGCGATAACAAGTTTTCATTGTTAGTAGCTGTAATCAATACTATGTTATGCTTATATCCATCAATGCTAGCTGAGTGCTCCTTTGTTTTGTTCACTTGGTGTGCACGCGTTGCATTTTCCAATAGTAGTTTACTACGCATTAGTTTCTTATTTTTTCCCCGATTATGCCTCCTCGTCCAGCGAATCGCCGCAATGGAGCCGTCACTACGGATCCGAAATCACTCACGCTAGCCCAACTCAACGCTCTGCCAAAGAATTCGTTGATTCTTTTAGCTTCTGCACGAAATCTCGTGACCACGGGTACGAGGGCTCGCTTGGCCCAACGCATCTTTGAACACGAACATGCAAACAATCACGCACCTCAGGCCGTCGCTCCTCAATTGCCAGCCTCATCCGAAAATCCTGGCTTTTCCGAGGATCTTGAGCGCCCTTCTCGTTCTACTAGTCGCCAACAACCTTCCTCAACTCCGGGCTCTCAATTCTAGCCAGACCAACTTATCCAGCTTCGCGAGTTAATAGCTGAAACAGTTGGCTCCCAACGTTCTGGACCAGGTGAAGCTCCTGGTTTACTAGCAGACGTGCCTCTTCTGTCTCCGGCTAGCCCTCTGAACATCGCGGCGACCACCGCAACGGAACAGAACCTGAACCAGGTGAACGGTGTAAACCTTCCCAATGTCATCCAAGATGGCGGCCTTTCTCTACGCCAGTTAGTGCCCAGTCTTCCACAGGCTTCCCAGGGTCCGGCTCAACAAATTGTCACCAACCAAGCCTATGAACACGATCTTGCTCTGCCACCGCTCCCGGAGAAACTCCGCTCGAAGACATCCAAACGTGAGTACATTGACTTCAATGAACTTCTCTCAGATAACATGTACCCACACCCTTCGTTCGCCTCCTCCCAGAACAACTTCACCCTGACTGTTGACCCCCAGGACGCCACTACCCTTGCCTTTGTACCTTCCCAGCGCAAGAAACGCCGCATCGATGGCCTTTCCTCCTGGCTCGAAGCTTGGAATGTCTTCCTGGGCTCCACCATATCTATCTACCCATCTCTCGCCCCAGACCTCCTCGCATACCAGGCCCAGATTTGCAAGTTTAGCAGGAAGTTTAAAGCATCAGCCTGGCTTATGTACGACACAGCCTTTCGCTATATGGCTGCTTCACATGCCGCCATGTCATGGGGTAAAGTAAATGAGCAGCTCTATAATGATATTCTGAAGGAAGAGACCCTGCCCTACTGCGTCCATTGCCACACCTATGGTCATCGCACCTTGGGTTGTCCCACTCGATCAAAGCCTGTCCAGCCTTTTCGTCCCTTCTCTAATGAGCAGCTCTATAATGATATTCTGAAGGAAGAGACCCTGCCCTACTGCGTCCATTGCCACACCTATGGTCATCGCACCTTGGGTTGTCCCACTCGATCAAAGCCTGTCCAGCCTTTTCGTCCCTTCTCATCTTTCACAACCACTCCCTCACCCGACACCTTTGGTGCAGCCTCCAACACTCCCCTTCCATCCCGCAACGAGCACCCCCAGCAAGCAGCCATCTGTCGCGACTTCAACCGTCGGGCCTGCCGCCGCCCCAACTGCCACTTCAAGCATATCTGCAACAAACCAGACTGCAGTGGAAACCACCCTGGCTCTCAGTGCCCTAAAGTACCCCAATTGTAACTCCACCCCTCCCATTTTAACCCCACCTTCTACACCTGTCAACATTGCCAACCTCTCTACGGAACTCAAGCACCATCCCGACCAACAGCCTTCTACACGACCTCCAATGGGGCTGTCATGTTGGCTATACCGGCCCTCGCTTTGCTAGCATAACCAAACTTAACCTCAGCCCTCCTGCATCCTGACGCCGTTTCAGCTGCCCTGGCTAAGGAGGTATCCAATGGTCATATGGCAGGGCCGTTTCAAACACCACCTATCCCAAACCTCCAATGCTCCCCTCTCGGGGTAATGCCTAAGAAAGACGGCACCTGGCCCATCATCATGGACCTCTCCTCCCCCCATGGGTCCTCCATAAATGATTACATTTCCAAGGAGGAATTACCATTACACTACGCTACCTTCGATCAAGCTCTATCTCTAGTTGCACGTTACGGGAAGGATGCCCTCATGGCTAAACTAGACATAAAACACGCTTTCCGGCTTTGCCCAGTACGCTTGGAGGACCGCGAACTACTCGGCATTCACTGGCAGGGCCAATACTACATTGATCTCCGCCTCCCCTTTGGTATGCGATCTTCTCCCTCTCTCTTCAACCGTTTGGCCGACGCCTTTGAGTGGCTGTTGAAGACCAACTATCACATCCAGGACCTCATGCATTACCTGGATGACTATTTTACCGTCGGCCCTGCCAACTCTCTGGTCTGTGCCCATAATGTTCACACCATTACCCAAGTGGCCTCTCAGGTGGGCATACCCCTGGCTCCCAACAAGCTTGAAGGACCCACTACTCAGTTGGTTTTTCTGGGTATTCTGATCGACACTACTTGCATGGAAACCTCCCTACCTGATGATAAACTTCATTAGCTGTTGTCCGAACTCCGCTCTTGGTCCTCCTGTAAATATGTCGCAAAAGAGAACTTCTCTCCTTGATTGGCCAGCTGAATTTTGCGTGTCGGATCATCCCCGCGGGCCGCATTTTCCTACGTCGACTTATTAACCTCTCAACCCAGACACGCCTTCCACATCACCACGTCACCATGAACCGCGAAGCCCGCCGCGACATCTCTTGGTGGCTCCGTTTTCTCCCCTCTTGGAACGGCCGTGCCATCATACCCGACCCCAACTGGACGAGATCCCCAGATATTGAACTCTTCACAGACGCCTCGGGAAGTCTCGTTTATGGCATCTTTTACATGGGTCACTGGATTGCCAACCCCTGGCCTCCCGTGCTCCAGAACCGATCGATTCAGTTGAAAGAACTTTACCCCATTGCTCTGGCGTGTCTTCTTTGGGGTCATCAGTGGACCGGAAAGAAGCTCCTCTTTCATTGCGATAATCAAGCGGTAATGGATATTTGGGCCTCAGGCTCTTCCCGAGACCCCCCTATTATGCACCTTGTCCGCTCCATTTTCTTTACTGCTGCCACCAATCACTTTACAGTCCTTGTCACTCATATTGTCGGCACAAGTAATGTTATCGCTGATTCCTTATCCCGTTTGCAGATGTCCCGGTTCCGTCTTCTCGCACCAGCAGCAGATTTGGAATCAACTCCTGTCCCTCAGTCGGCCGAGACCTTTTGGCAGCCCGCCTAACTTTTCTCCAGTCCCAGGCAATAGCAGATTCAACCCGCCGCTCCTACCAGGCAGGCATTCGTCGATACTCTAACTTCTGTGCATCCAGGGGGTGGCCCAGTTTTCCAGCCACAGACACTACATTACGCTTCTTCGCAGCCTACCTTGCTGATCAAGTCAGCTTCAAGACCATAAAGTTATACATGGCAGGAATCCGTTTCGCCCACACTGAAAACAGCCTACCAGATCCCTTCTTGGCAGCACCCCTCCTTCATCTCCTCCTGCGTGGAATCAAGCGCACCTTGGGCCTCACATCTCGTCAGCGCCTCCCTATCGCTATGACCCTTCTTCGGCAGATTAACGAGGAGCTTGCTCGTGCTCCTGACTACTTACCGACAGACAAGTTGATGTTGTGGTCGGCTTTTACCTTAGCCTTCTATGGCTTTCTGCGGTCCAGTGAATTCACATCACCTTCAGCATCTTAGTTCAATCCCCTAGTGCATCTGTCCACCACCGATGTCTCCTTTACGTCAACAGGTTGTCTTACTTTACATCTGAAGGCATCCAAGACGACTCCATACCGGCAGGGCTGTTCGCTATTGATTGCCCCATCTCATCGTTCTGTCTGCGCTGTGCGAGCCCTGAGGAAGTACCTTGCTCTGCGTCTAACAAGCGGTACATCTCCACTCTACGTCTTCCAATCTGGCAATTATCTCATCAGGGCTAAAGTCACCACTATCATCCGCACCCTCCTTCAATGGCTTGGTATTTCTTCAGAGCTCTATGCATCCCACAGTTTCCGGATCGGCGCCGCTACATCAGCAGCTGAAGCCGGTCTGCCCCCTTGGCTTATCCAAACACTAGGAAGGTGGTCCAGCAACTGCTACACTCTCTATATTAGAACTCCGCCTTCTGTTCTCCAGAAGGTTCCTGGTCTGTTGGCTGCCACAAACACCTCAGGACAAGGGATATGGAACCCACTACTACAACGTTTCACTCCTAGTCTTCCATAATTGTATAGTATAATATGCAGGCAGTATTTGGGATGTATTTTGGGTGCACACCTGCTACTCTTACCTCAGCGTAGCAGGCCGGGTGGGGCCCCCACCCCACCTTAGTTTATTCACTCCTGGGTGGGGATGCGCTCCACTCGTTGCCTCGTCCGTTACCGTGCAGGGTGTGTCGCTGCCACCCTCACTGCACTGCTCATTGCTAGGGTGTGTTGCTGCCACCCTCATTCCATTACGTATATTACTAGGGTGTGTCGCTGCCACCTCATTCCATTACGTATATTACTAGGGTGTGTCGCTGCCACCCTTATTGCATGCACTTTACGGGGTGTGTTGCTGCCACCCTTGTTTTACCCCAGGGTGCACCCAACAACCTTTAGTCCCATTTACTGCCAAAGACTGTGTATTTTATCTTGAACTACATAGTTAAGCGATTAAGTTGTTAACGAACAAAGTCAAAGTTTTAAAACCTGAAGCGACCGCCTTGTACCAGACCCATCTTAGACCAGTTACTAAAACAGAGCTCAGTTGATGTTCGACAAACTCGAATTTTAAGAGAGAACGTTGATTAATTTCTTATCTGTAACTGCAACAAGTTCATCCTAAAGAAACGTCACGATCATTTATTATAGTCTCAAATTCAAATTACCTTTCAATTAACAATTGTTTTTCAAACATGACAATGGTATCCATGCTATAAATTTGTGCAGACTCTAAGAGTTTGCTACTCATCCAGAGCCCAGTTCTTCAAACGCCTATTAGCGCTAACCCGCGGTTAAATTTTAACCCTGGTTTCTCAGTTTTTCTTTTTATCAAAAGCACTCTCTCGGAAAATTTTCTCTATTCTTTTAAGAGTATCCTATCATCAAATTGTAGGCAAAAAGAATTAAACTGAACTTGCTTTTTGAGCCCTGATATCCGAGTTCAAATTTCGCACTAACCCTGGGTTACCTTAACCCAGCTTCAAACAACCCGGCCCAAGTGAGCTCAGCTAACTCGTCTAGACAGAATCTCTTACAATCTACCAACGTGCCATCGTGTTTTTGATGAGCTGTTCGGAGGAGGAAGCCTTTTATGATGGTTTGAGGAAAAGCTGATTTTCTCGAACATTTTTTTAAAATCTTTTAAATGTCATTGCGAGTGGGCATGTTTGTATTTGCCCTTTAATAATTGCGTAACGCCGGCAAGATTAGCACTTTCACATAGACAGACAAAAATGTTGTAGAATGCTCAAATTCAAAACATCAGTCTGATTTAAATCAATGAATTAAATGATCTCTATTACTGTTATTTGCATTAACAAGTTTTGCCGATGGAGCTCGTATAAAAGTTCTGTTCTCTCAGTCAACCGTGCAATATCAATTCATTATGTCATAGAACAACAACGTCACTTTCATCGTTTCGGGAATGTTTTGAATCTAGCAATGTGTTCGGTTGACAATCCTAAAATTTCCCTTTGAGAGGGTAGATATAAGTAGAAGATATATCGAAACCTGGTAGTAGAAATTTTAGGCTTTAGTGGAGCTTACGCAAACTGAACATTTTCCACCTTTGTTTTTATAACCACTCAAGTTGTTTGTTTGCATCATAACTTACTCAGCACAAGTAGCCCTTACTGACCGGGGAAAAGAAATGCCGAATGCTAGGAGTAAAATTCAATTCAATTTCTGTATTCAAATAAACTGAAAATGAAAATCGGTTTTAACTGAATCGTTTCTTTAGAAACTTTGCCTGTGGAGTTGCGAGGGTACTTTTACTGTCTCGCACTGCGAGAAACTGCCTCACTTTTATTTAGAAAAGTAAATAAAAAGGTTTTAAACCAGAGAGACTGACTACAGGCAAAAACATCTATTTCGGCTGGAGATTAAACGGTGTTTTAACATAAAATGGCGATCTTAATTATTTTCAACTTTGCCTAGGATGATTTATAGTGATGTAAGCTCAGTAAATGTTTTCTGGTGCGCTAGTATTAATTCACTACAATATTATAGATCAGTTGTCCCGTATTGACGGGATCAGCCATTTCTGCATAACCATTCGAGTCAAGTGAAATGGTTTCTGTTTGTAGGCAAAGAATAATTAATAAGTACCCTCTTTCTCGGTTAAAATATCCTGGGTATTTGTTTGGCCAACTAGGATTGACGCAGTTACAGCCCTCAACTCAAAACAAGCCACTTACTATCAATATGTTTGTACTGTTATCTAAGCAACTCACTTTGTTTAAGTAACTGACCCCTCAAGTCTTCATGCAATTTCGTCTTAGCTGATATCACCAATTCTAATCAAAACCCTCATACAGTGATAAACTGGCACAATTACCTGAACTGAACACGTATCTTCTTTGTAGCAAAATGACTAGCAGACTCTGAAGCAAAACATATTAAGTAATCACTGCCTTTTACTCTTCCGTCAATCAAAACTTAAACGACCAATAAGATCGACCAATAAAAACCAATGGATTAAAATCTACCAATCATGTATCACTGTTCTGTCAATCATTGTAGCGGTTCTTTTCGAAAATGAATCTCTGTAGACTAGCTTGATTATAGCTTGTCTTGGGAAGACCTTAAACATACAGGTGTTATCTGACTGCTGCTAAACGTTTTCCTTCTTTCATTTGTTTTTATTTTAATGCGTTATGAGAAGTAAGAAAACAGTATGCTTAAATTTTCTTATGGATGAATTGATACAAGGCATAATGCAAAGCGTGGTATGCAATGAGTTCCAATTATGGGTCATAGGTTCCATAGCCTGAGGCTTCTGGAGCCATTCAGCTGCGCTTTTATCACGAACTCGAAGAACTAGAAGATATATCGAAACCTGGTAGTAGAAATTTTAGGCTTTGGTAGAGCTTACGCAAACTGAACATTTTCCACCTTTGTTTTTATAACCACTCAAGTTGTTTGTTTGCATCATAACTTACTCAGCACAAGTAGCCCTTACTGACCGGGGAAAAGAAATACCGAATGCCAGGGGTAAAATTCAACTCAATTTCTGTATTCAAATAAACTGAAAATGAAAATCGGTTTTAACTGAATTGTTTCTGTAGAAACTTTGCCTGTGGAGTTGGTAGCGTACTTTTACTGTCTCGCACTCAAGTGGAAACTGCCTCCACTTAAGAAAAGTAAATAAAAAGGTTTTAAAACAGAGAGACTGACTACAGGCAAAAACATCTATTTCGGCTGGAGATTAAACGGTGTTTTAACATAAAATGGCGATCTTAATTATTTTCAACTTTGGCTAGGATGATTTATAGTGATGTAAGCTCAGTAAATGTTTTCTGGTGCGCTAGTACTAATTAACTACAACAGATCAGTTGTCCCGTATTGACGGGCTCAGCCATTTCTTCATCATCATTGGAGTCAAGTAAAATGCTTTCTGTTTTTGGGCAGAGAATAATTAATTATTACCCTTTTCCTCACTTAAAATATCCTGGGAATTTGCTAGGCCAACTAGGATTGACGCAGTTAATGCAGCCCTCAACTCAAAACAAGCCACTTACTATAAATAGGTTTCTAAGATACACTTATTTTTGTACTGTTATCTAAGCAACTCACTTTGTTTAAGTAACTGATCCCTCCAGTCTTCATGCAATTTCGTCTTAGCTGATATCACCAATTCTCATCAAAATCCTCATACAGTGTGTGTGAACTAAACACGTATCTTCTTTGTAGCAAAATGAGACTCTGAAGAAAAACATATTAAGTATTCACTGCTTTTTACTCTTCCGTCAATCAAAATTAAAACGACCAATAAGATCGACCAATAAGAAACAATGGATTAAAATCTACCAATCATTTATCACTGCTCTGTCAATCATTGTAGCGGTTCTTTTAGAAAATGAATCTGTTTAGACTCGCTTGTCTTGGTAAGACCTTGAACCTACAGGTTTTATTTGACTGCTGCCAAAAGTTTTCCTTTTTTCATTTGGTTTTATTATTTTAATACGTTATGAGAAGTAAGAAAACAGTATGCTTAAATTTTCTTATGGATGAATTGACAAATGGCATAATGCAAAGCGTGGTATGCAATGAGTTCCAATTATGGGTCATAGGTTCCATAGCCTGAGGCTTCTGGAGCCATTCAGCTGCGCTTTCATCACGAACTCCCAAGAATGAAGGTTATACTGACGGATAATGCCTCTAACCACTCTCAGAAAAGTGTTTACATTTCTTTTTGCCTGCAGAAGACTTGGAATAAATCTTTTGAAAGGGATATGTTTGATTGAGCCGGATTTTCGCACTGTTAACTCACTTCTGTCAAGGAGGGTTTTGTGATAGAAGGCATCATATATAGCACTACACAAGTGCATAATGAAAAAAGTCTGCATTACTGAATGGCTCTACCGTAGCAATTCGAATTGTACCATCAATCAGGGGCGTTATTTCATTTGTGCTTTTATTCCATAGGTCATCAAATAAAAACAAACTGATCTGAACTTTCCGACGAAATCCAAGCATTTTTTACAAGCAGAAAAATTGAAATGTTGTAAATGTAGAAACAAAAATTTTTAGTAGAGACGAAAGTTTTAGTTGGAATCAAAATTCCATTTCGTCTTTAAAAATTTTGGAAAGAATACTTCTTAATAACTTAATTGGTTCTAACTGTAGTGTTTGTTTATAAACTCTGTTTGAGGGTTACTAAGGAAGTTTTACTGTTTCAACGAAGCGGAAAACAACAATTTCGACTCAGTTCAAAGTAGAAGCCAGTATTTACGTCCAAGACCATTCTCAATTGATGATTCCGGGGTTATTGGCACTTTTGAGTTATCCGTTTTAATCTACCAGAGTACAAGAATGTGCCTGCTTTCATCGGTTTTGTGCTGGTCGCAGATCGAGAAGTTGGGCCTGGATTTTATTTATTGGCATTAGTTAAGTTGTTTGGCTGTATCGTTAACAACTCGGCACAATTAGGGGTAAAACAAAAGTTGTAGAATGTTAGAAATATAATTTTCAATTTCAGTTTCTTACACCAATAAATTGAAAATAATTTTCGGTTTTAAC